TGGTTTCTTCCATGGATAGAGGCAACAACAGGACAAGAGGTTTTCACATTGGTGGTCCTGACCAGGGTACAGCTCCTCTACATATTTCAATACCCCACTTCTTCATGCCAAGGATTCCCTCTATCTCAAAAACGCACTGTTCTCAAGCAGAGTTTCTGTGCTCTCTGTCAATCGCTCCATAAGCTAAAATTACCAGCAGTGGCACTCACTAAAAGTCAGAAGTAAGGCTACTCTTTACATTACCATTCAGCCAGGCTTGAAAGAGGAAGGATTAGAGAAGGATTCAACACAAGTTTTCAGGTAATTTAATTGTTTAATGAAGATCTGTTTTTCTCTTCTGTACTAGGCGAAGCAGGACTTCCTGGGAGTCCAGGGAAAGATGGTGCAAATGGAGAGAAAGGTGAACAAGGTCAGAGAAGAAGTGTTTAAATTTATTATTTGTCTATCAATTTCTACCCTTGTGTTTGTGAGCACTGGACGTGCTATACATTCTAGCTGTAGTGAAAGTACCATAAAGGTTAAAACCCCTTTTTCCAGAAGTATTAGAGGCTGCATAGATATGCTGACAATACAAGAGGAATTTGCCACTCTGAATTATCTTGCTGCCTCTGATACTCTACAACTTTTTTGCTCAGCCTGTTGTCCTGCCTTTCCCATCTCTGCTCTTTTGTCAGCTGCTGAGGAAGACACCACATCTGCAGCTATCTCAGGAAAGTGAGGGTACTGTAGCTATATCTGCAACTTCAGGGAAAGTGACTTTAAACGGAATTGTAGAAGACACGAGTTATACACCTAAAAATACAGTAAATCCTGTATACTTCACCTCTTTAGCCAACCTGTGCATATGTAGCATGCATCCTGTGTCAGATGGATGTATATGTGCAGAGTGACTTGCGTATAAAAGCAAGGAGTCAGCCGTGGTGCAACTGGCATCACACCATTCTGCACAAATTCAGTAACTTTGAGATGCTGGACTTGTGTATCCTTACAACAACTGTGCATAGACAATGTATACACCCAAAAGCATGGAAGCCTGCCAAGTACTCTGTGTCCAGGTTCTCCAAAATCCTTAAGGTGACCCTGAAAAGTATCATATGGTATCTGCATCACACAGGGGTAATTACAAGCTGCTCTACACCCCTCAGACTTTTCTCCAGTCTATTAGAAAAGTCCCCAGTCCTGGAAGTAGCGTGAGACATGAAGTCACAAACGTTGTTTAGAATTACAAAAGCTACTTTCTCTTCCTGTGTCCTTGTCCTGATGGACCTGTGCTGCTTTTCTTCAAGGCTCACCATAGAATGTCATCCATTTTCAGTTCATTGCTGCAGTTAAATACTCCCAATTGTATTTTGAGAACAATAAACTGTAAATACAGCATTATTCCTAACAACAGAAGCTGGAGTCTCTTATGCAGAAATTCTCACTTCTTTTCCTGATTGGTAGAGTGTATGATCATTATGGTATCTTCTACTGATCAACTGCTAACATGCCCTTCACATCATGAGACCTCCACCTTCAAACCCTTTCAAAATCTTTGAGCTTCAGTCCAAGAGGGGATAAAGGAGATAAATAGAGCATGTGGTAGCAAGTAACAAGGACAAAAAGCCTTTAGTTGCACTTCATAGCAACCTAGGTAACTCAAGCAAAGTTCCACCATGTGGAAATTACAGAAACACACGGCAAGCAAGTTCTGGGTGTTTTCCAAGTAGAACCTTCCTCTGAATAACCTGGGAACCATCTCCCCCATTTTGTATACCAAAGACTGAAAACAATGTCTGGACAGATGCTGCTTGTGCCTGAGATGATGTAAGCTGCCAGTGCTCCCATCAGCCTGTAGACAAATCACACCTTCCTTCCTTTGAGCTTATTCTTGCTGCTCTCAGCCAGGGCACCTGTTTTCTACCACAATAGCAGTTTCTTCAGATGTTATGCTTATCCTGCACTTAAATGTCTGAGAAATTGTACGTGAAATGCACAGTGAGCACAGTATGTAAAGTGGTGACACACACCTACACATATATGTCTTCATGCTGAAACTCATATTGTGCCTTGTTAACCCAGTGGAAGATCATAAAAAGGTGTTTTGTTTCGTTTTGCTTTGTTTTGTTTTGTTTTAATTTAGGAGCCAATGGGACTGTTGAAGAGAAGGGAAACAAAGGAGATAAAGGAGAAAGAGGACGACCTGGGAAATTGGGACCAAAAGGAATTATAGGGTCAGTGGGTTACAAAGGTCAGAAGGGAGAGCTGGGACTGCAAGGACAAAAGGGGTTAAAAGGAGACATTGGGCCTATAGGTCCAAAAGGGACGAAGGGTGAAATTGGCCATCCTGGAAGAGTTGGCTTCCCAGGGCCAATTGGCCCGATTGGTAATCCAGGTCCTAAAGGTAATCCTGGAGATTTGGGTCCACGGGGTAATCCAGGAATTCAGGGGGAAAGAGGTTTGAAAGGAGACAGAGGAGACAAGGGGAACGTAGGTGCCCCAGCAGTCCTGCCAAGGAGTGCTTTCAGTGTTGGCCTTACAATTGCCACCAAATTTCCCTCCCCGAACCGCCCGATCAAGTTTGACAAGGTGTTGTACAATGGTCTAAATGACTACAACCCCACCACCGGCAAATTCACCTGCAAATACCCCGGTGTTTACTATTTCACCTACCACATCACTGTCTACTCAAGGAATGTCAGGGTAGCTTTAGTTAAAAACGGCATCAAGATGCTGCACACAGTGGACAGGTACCAGAGTGGAGAGGACCAGGCCTCTGGAGCTGCCATCCTCGAGCTACAGGGAGGAGACGAGGTGTGGCTGCAGGCTCATCAAGGAGAGAGTTTCAACGGGCTGTTTGCAGACGCTGATGATGATACCACCTTCACTGGGTTTCTCCTGTTCAGCACCTCTGACCTGCTGGAGCCGCTGCCATCGCCTGCCCTGTAAATCCATGTTATCTGTGAATGTTCTATGTCTGCGTCCTTCAGCCCTCCTTAATAAAGTTGTCATCTGCTGGCCAATTTCTACTGGATTCAGCAGAGAACAGAAATCACCCAGCAAGGTATGCCGAGGGCTGAAAGGGAGATGTAGGACTGCAGGGCAGGGTGGGATCTCCCTAAAAGTTGAGTAAATTTGGGTTTTTTGATTGGTGAAATCATTGCAGTGGCAAGGTGTAGGATCGCACTGCTGGTATTGGTAGGAAACCAGGCCTCATTCTGCACACAACTGCTCATCACACAACGTAATTCCTGCAGTTTTCACCACCAGCTGCTAAAACACAGCTCAAGGCTTCAGAGCCGTACTCGGAAGAGTTTGAATCAAACACCTGCTTGTCCCAATCACAAGGTACCACGTGTTTATTTATTAAACTGTCCTAGTCCACTATTGTCAGCTTTGTTTTTTAAAACTCAGAATAAAAAAGTTCCTAATGTGCATAAACCGTTTTTATGGCTGCAGTCGCAGTACAGTTGGTTTCAGGAACGGCTTCTGCACAAGGCAGAAGAACTCTTCAGCATCTTTGGTGCTGGGCTTGATGCATTACTGGTCTGGTGACCTACTGTAGTCATACAGGGGTGCGTATACCGCTCCTGAAGGACGAATGTTTTAAAAGAAGGTGGGACAAAATAAAAGTTTCAAGTTCTGAAATTACGACACGTGGGTCCCTGCCATCTTGTATAAACATTAAGCAGCAGTTCCTTCCAAGCCAGTTTATATCCTTGTAGGTGGTATGCGTAGATGGGCTTGAAACTTAGTCAGTTTGCATCCAGGCATTTCAAAATAAATTTTAAAACTCGGAATTAGCGTAGTTTGGTACCTCCACAGGGGCTGTTTGCTCTGTGAAACAGGTTAGTTTCATTGCAGCTGGGTGGATTTTTAAAATACAGTTTTTAAATGCAGTTCTATGCTCCCTCTGTAGCCAAAGGTCTGAAAGAGAGAGAAATAGAGCACTAGAAGGAAGCACCATATGGATTCTCCGAGAGGGGCAGATACTCAATGCCAGTGCAAAAATGCAGCATAATGCTGCTGTACTTCAGAATCAGACAACGCCAAGACACATTCTTCCACATGAAGGATCATCTTTAATAACCACTGACGCAGACATACTGGAGAACTATTAATTAATATAGATCAAGCTATATTTCCAGTGCCACAAAACTTTAATTTCTGTGAATTTTCCCAGAATTTTTTTCTTCCGTTTTCCCCTAAAACTCAAAAATACAATGAAAGATGCTAGTAAGTCTTGCTCACTCCTCTTAAAAGAGAATAAAGCAGAGAAGCCAGAGAAACAGGCCAATACCATGAAATTAAGAGCAAACACAATGTAGGAGCAAGAGGCCTGACTTCCCAACACCTCTGATGCTGATGGACAGGTAAGGAAACATGGATTCATCCCCGCGGTTGTTGAACCCTGACTATGGATCGCAGGTCCCAAATGAACGTGGTGAGGTGGGTTTCTTCAAGAAAAACAGCTACACTTCTCATGTCAGCTGAATTACGCTGAGAGAGGGCTGAAGCACACAGGACAGAGCGCTATATGAATTTTTCCGTAGATTTTTCCCTAAGCCACAGGCTGGAAGTTTGTGTCATAGGAACACCTAGGCTAAAAAATGCTTTAAAATGGTCTTAGGTTTTACTGGAAAACCTGTAGGAGAAATTTCAGTCGGCGAAGAGCACTCCCGGCGCCCACCCTCCTCCGGAGCCG